GCATGCCGAAATCCGTCAAAAATCTTCGGCGTCGTGACGGTTGCAAAACCGATTGTCCAACACACATATAAGAAACACATGGTTTCGCAGCATTAGTTCTCAACAAAAGCATGCGCTCGCGCTCTTGCGAACTCTTAAAGAAAACCCGGCGTTCCAACATGTTCATGAAATTCTGCCAAGCGGGCCTCTGGCGCCGCACGCCGAAATCATTCGCGCGCCCTTGCTCGCGTGCTGGGGGGAGGGGGGGCACGATCCGTGTCAAATAAAACAATGCGGGCCACTCTCGCGCGTCGGCCGCGCGCGCATGTCGAACTCTTTCCACAACCTTCATCACCGACGCGAGGACGCCGTCATCGTGGACGGCGCGACCAGCATCTGTGCCCGCACTGGCCGCGCCGTCGTCGTTGCCAACATCGTCGCCAGCACCGCTACTATCATCATCGCGTCTACCTTTGTCGACGTTGCCATGATACCGCGCCCGCCCAAGTCGCCGACGCGCACTGAAGTGCTCGCTGGGATGCGCACAGCGGTCAGCGCCACCGCGGCCGCGTCGGTCGCGCCAAACTAGCTGGCCGCTGCGCGCGTGTGCTTGAGTTGGCGCGGTCAGCATCATCACCAGCATCGCTACTTTCATCATCGTGTCTACCGTTGTCGATGTTGCAATACCGCGCCCGCCCAACACGCCGACTCACACTGAGGCGCCCGCCGAGATGTGCCCAGCGGTCAGCGGCACCGCGGCCGCGTCGGTCGCGAAAAGCTAGCTGGCTGCCGCGCGCGCGTGCGCGGGCTGGCGCGACCGCAGAGATGCACCAGCCAACGCCAAGCACTCATCGCAATCGCCGCCGCATGGGTTTTGCAAACCAAGATTCGGGTGGGTGGGTGGGATGTTTGCGCGAGCAGTGGAGGTGGTCAAACGCGGTGCAGGGTAGTCAACTGCACCACACAGGTTGCACCAGAAACATTGCAACACTGAGTGCGTTACATAGGTTCTCCTCTCTAAGAAAGAAAAAAGATATTCCACCCCCCGCCCCGCCCCGGTTTTATCTTACCTTCGGCGATGTGCCATTTACGAACGATTCTGCCCCATCGTTCATTTTATAAACATAATTTCATACAGTCCCAGCCAGGCCGGTATCGACACACCCCCACCCCCCATCCTCTGCAAAAAACACTGGGCGCACACTTGTACATCACAAATCATCCCGTGCAAGAAACCGGGCGAACTGCACACGCGCGCGCCGTGGCGCGCGCATGCCGAAATATTCAAAAACTATGGATTTCGTGAGGGTTTCAGAATTGAGCGTCCAAAAAACATGCAAGAACACATGGTTTTGCAAAACCGCTGCTAAAAAAAATGCGCGCTCGCTCTTGCGAGTTCGCAAGAATACATTCGGCGAACCAGCATGTTCACCAAATGCGACCAAAAGGGCCGTTCGCGCGCTCATGTCGAACTCATTCGAACCCCCTTTGCGCGCGTGCTGGGGGGGCACGACCCCTGCCTAATGATACCATGCGGGCCACTCGCGCCCATCGGCCGCGCGCGCATTCCAAAACCTTCATCACCGACACGTGGGCACCATCATCGTCATCGGAGTGACCAGCATCGGCGCCGTCATTGGCGTTGCCGTCGTCATCGTTATCGTCGTCACCCGCATCGTAACTATGATCATCGTGTCTGCCGCTACCTGCATCGCAATGATACCGCGCACACCCGGCTCACCGACTCGCACTGATGTGGTCGCGCGTCAGCGCGGCCTGCGAGACGCGCTGGGAAGTCCCACGACGGTCAGCGCCACCGCGGCCGCGCCAGTCGTGCCCGACTAGCCGGCCGCTCTGCGCGCGAGCCTGCGCGCACCAGCGCGGCCGCAGCGAGCCGCCAGCCAGCGCCAAGCGGTCAACGCAATCGCCGCCACATGGGCTCTGCAAACCAGATTGGGGGTGGGTGGGGGGATGATTGCGCGAACAATGGAGTTGACTTCTCAATGCGAACAAAAATTCATTTTCCTCTCTAAACAAATAATAGGCTCCTCCCCCCCCAGAGTCAACGGCACGCCTTTTCGTATTGCAATTTACATATGACTCGGCCCCATCGCCCATCCTAAATATGAACTCGTACCATCCCAGCCAGGCCAGTGTCGACCCCCCCCGCCATCATCTGCAAAAAAATTCTATGCGCGCACACCCGTTTATGAAAAAACATATTTGTTCAATAATCCCTTGGACCAAAAAACGACGAAGTGCACAAGCGCGCGTCGTCGCGCGCGAATACCGAAATCCGTCAAAAACCTCGGGTGTCGGAAAGGTTCCAAAATCGAGTTGCCAAAAAACATACAAAAACAGGGTTTCGCAACACTGCTTTTTGGGAAAAAAACTTACACGCGCGCTCTTGCGAAATCTTAAGAAAACCACCGTTGCCAAATGTTCAACAAAAACGGGGGGGGGAGAACAAAAAAAAAAAAAAAAAAAACGGGCGTCGCGCGCATGTCGAAATCGTTCGATCGCCCTTGCGCGCGTGCCGTCGCGAGAATCCCCTGCAAAAATGAGACGAAGTGCACGCGCGCGCGTCGTCGCGCGCGCATGCCGAAATCCTTCAGAAACCTTCGGTTTCGGAATGACTTCAAAATCGAGTGCCCAAAAAACACACAAAAACACAGGGTTTCGCAACACGGATGTTCAACAAAAGCGTGCGCGCGCGCTCTTGCATCGTCGTCGTCGTCGTCGCCGTCCTCTCTCCTCCCTCGTCGTCGTCGTCGTTGCCGTCGTCGTCCTGTCTTTCCTCCTCGTCGTCGTCGTCCTCTTTGGCGTCGTCGTCGTTTCCGTCGTCGTTGTCGCCGTCGTCGTCCTTCCTCCTCCCTCGTCGTCGTCGTCGTCCGTCGACGGCATCTCGTCGTCGTCCCTCCTATTTCGCCGCCGCCGTCGTCGTCGTCTTCCCTCCTCCATCATCGGTGTCGTCATCGGCGTCGCCATCCTCCCTCCTACTTCGTCGTTCGCGTCGTCGTGGTCCTCCCTCCTCCCTCGTCGTTGTCGTCGTTGTCGCCGTCGTCGTCCTCCCTCCTCCCTCGTCGTCGTCGTCGTCGGCGTCGGCGACGTCGTCGTCGTCTTCGTCGTAGTCGTCGGCGTCGTCGTCGTCGGCGTCGACGTCTTCGTCGTCGTTGTCGTCCTCGCCGTCGGCGTCGTCGTCGCCGTCGTCGTCGGCGTCGTCATCGTCGTCGTCGGCGTCGGCGTCGTCGTCGTCGTCGGTGTCGCCGTCCTCGTCGTCGTCGTCGTTGTCGTCGTCGTCGAAATCGTCGGAGACGTCGTCGGTGTCGTCGTAGTCGTCGTCAGCGTAGTCGTCGTGGTCGTTGACGCTGTCGTCGTCGGCATCGCTGTCGTTGCCGAGTACCATTTGGTACCCACCGTCACGGTCTTAAGAAGTCTTGCGACCAAGTTGCGGGTGGGAGGGTAGGATGCTTGCACGAGCAGTGGAGAGGACAGCGTCAAGACAGTCAAAGTGAATTGCACCACCTAGATTGCTGCACATCGATTGCCCCACACAGATTGCCCAACATACATTGCACCACATATAATGCTAGACTCACACTGTTTGGGGTCCACGCTGGCTGACATCTCAAATACGCGAATGCATCGAGCAACAACGATTGTGAAGTGTAGGAAGCACGAACCACGCTTTCCTACAATTGGTGTGGCCACGAACTAACAGAGAATGCAATACCGAAACATACATCGCTGTTACCCACATCGCCGTTGGCGCGTCTACGGAAGATTCCCCTTCAGTTTCAAGCTCGCACACGACCGTGGAGGTGCACAGGGCAAACTCCTCCTTGAGGGGCTTCCGGATCTTGGAGCCGCCTTTTTGAGATTCTTCGACTGGCCAACGCGTAGGGAAGGACGATGCTTAGGTCGGGCATGTCCCCCTGCAGGCGGATTTTGGATGACGAGTAAAAAATACTCTGGCAAGATTCGAAACGGTCAACAGGAGTCGAAAAATCAGCTCCCGACTGCTCCTCCACTGCTTTGGAACACTGCTTCCTGCAGAGGGACTGTGCCCGACTGCAAGACCGTGCATCCGGACCCGCAGGGGGCACGGGCCGCCCGCACGCACGGCGCGCATCCGCATGCGCGCGCGCGCTCGCGGGTGCACGGCACGGCAGGCAAGCACGCACGCTGCTCGTCTCCTCCTCCTTCCTCCCCCTCCTCCTCCTCCTTCCTCCCCTCCTTCCTCCTCCTCCTCCTTCCTCCTCCTCCCTCCTCCTCCCCCTCCTCCCCCTCCTCCTCCTCCTCCTCCTTCCTCCTCCTCCTCCCCCTCCTCCTCCTCCTCCTCCTCCTCCTCCTCCTCCATCAGCATGGCCTCAGCTCGCGCGCGTGCCGTGGGCATCACGAGCCGAGGGGAGACGAGACCGCGACGCGCAGCGCTCGCAGACGCCCGTGCCTCGACCTGCCGGTGCCGGGGCCTCGTCAGATGTGCCAGGGCCCCATCACGTGGCGCACGCGCCACCGAGCTGGTTCAACAGGGATTCCACTGCACTGGGGGCCGTAGCACAGGCCAAACGCACAATGGCAATCATCGCGTCCGGGGTCGTGGGCAGGCCAGGGCTCCACCACTGAAAACAGGACAGTGGCAGGGCATCTTGACAGCGTTCGTTGGGGCTCGTGCGCCAAGCCCAGTGTCCGGCGGTACATACGAGCATGCGTGCGCGTATCTCGGATGAGCGCGTATGAGGCTTATCAACATGGCGTACGGTCAGGATCCTCTTGCTTCGCATGTCGCCACGGCGGCCCTGGCGACACGCTATGCACTGCCAGAAGACAGCGTGTCGCTCCGCTCCGCGAGGCAGGATGCTGAGAAACAACTCGAACCGTTGACGCTCGGGGACCAAGACGTGGTTAGCGTGTCGCGCCGAGGCGTTGTGGGCCAGAACCGGCGACGTGATACGCTAAGCCAAAGTCCCTGACCGTCTTACACGCAAGCGTGCAAGGAGAATTGGCAAGTGGAACAATCAGAGAGGACCGCTCGCTGGAGGAACCTGGGGACAGCAAGGAGTCTTCCTTGCCGGCGGATGGGCCATCAGGGGCTGGAGCCACGTAGTACAGCACAGGAGTCCGAGCAACCGCACAGAGTTCGGCGGTCCCGCCAGGGAGGTAAAGGTGCGGCGCCAGCCACCAAAGCGACCCGGCACGCCGCGTGCCACTCTAACGCGTGCGACGCTGGCCCTCCACGGCTTCTGCGGAGGGCCTCTGGGCACCGCCCCCCGCCCCGTCACTGCAGAGACTGCAGCTTCACCATGTAGTTGACCCGCTGGGCTTCGCCCAGCTGCTGCCACTCGCGGACGCTCATCACGTGCACCACCTGCACCTTCAGCCGCTGCAGCAGCCGGTGGCGCAGCTTCGAGCTCGCCGTGAGCTCGGGGGGCGTCCTGTCGTCCTGCCGCACCGCGTAGTAGGCGCTCTCGTCGGAGCACTCGTAGACGATCTCCTCGGTCTGGGCGTTCGGGTTCGTGGCCTTGGTCACGATGTGCAGGCCCAGGGGGCCCGCCATGCGCCGCATGTCGCACACGACGCCGAGCTGGTCCAGCACGGCGGCGATCTGTGAGGCGAAGAAGCTCGGGCCTTCGTGTTCCAGCCTCCCGCTCTCCGTCCTGACCCTGTCGAGGTACGCCCTCACGTCTGCGGGCAGGGACGAGAAGAAGGAGAACGTGTCCTTGCGCACGCAGGCCTCTATGACGAAGACGTTGTGGAAGTGCTTCGCGCGCCTCCTCCTGGACTGGGCGTCGCGCTGGAACTCGGCGATGTCGGGCGCTGCCGTTCTGTTGTCCTGCTGCTCGAGGGGCCTCCCGGCATCCACCCGCATGCAGCGCTCCAGGAACGAGCGGCGCAGGGCGTCGGGCATCAGCTGCGACATCGCCATCGTCGGACTCACCAGCTCGCACTCCTCCAGCGTGAGGCGCGGGATGGCCACCGAGAGCTGCTCCTGTCGGCACCGCTGGCTCTATCCACGCTCCCCCTGGGCCAGGGAGCCTCAGCGCCACCAGCCTGCGACAAGTTCGTGCCATAGCGACTTCGGCGATGCTTTCTGACACCAGCGATGATTTTGAACGATCGACGGCTTTTCGATCGCCAAATCGACCCGTATTGGTCGATTCTGGGCCACTGGCGGCGTTCAACCTTTTAAAAGCACGCGGCGGGGTCGCTGCCGCGTCGGCACGACACGAGCCTGCTGTGCCCCCCCAAGTGAGAATAGATGCCGGGATACTCGAAGGAGACCGCCGACTATAATCCGCCGACCCTGTCGGCGTGTTGAAGACGCTGTTCTGTTTGACTCGACGTCGTCGTCGTCGTCGTGGTCGTCGTCGTCGCCGCCGCCGTCGTCGTCGCCGTCGTCGTCGTCGCCGTCGTCGTCGTCGCCGTCGTCGCCGTCGCCGTCGCGTTTGATCCCCCTCTTCCCTGAGCCCATCGCCGCTCCACCCCTTTCACTCGGCCCTCCTCCTCAAGCGAGCCAGCCAAAGCGAAACCAAAGCGAAATTGAGCAACATCGTAGTTGAGTCGAAGGGAAGCGCCTTCCCTTTGATCCCTTCGGAGGGGGGGGTCCTTGGGGGGGTCCCCCGGGGGGGGTCCCAGTTCAGAATACCATCCTCCCCAGAGAGGTCCTGGGGCCCAAGAGGGCCTCAACACAGCCCAAGAGGACCCAAGACGGTCCGAGAGGACCCCGAATCGCCGAACAATCGGTCCAAGACGCCAGAGATGGCCTCCTGACAGCCCAATCGGCTGCCAAGATGCTCGAAGAGGCCTTCAAGAGCACACCAAGAGGGCCCCAACAGGCAAAATTCAATGAGATCCCTTTTAGATTTTTAAGAGATTCTGGCATTCTCGCCTTTCCGGCTTCCCGACGCCCCAAGACGGCCCAAGATGCCACCAAGATCGGCACAAGAGGCCCCCAAGAGGTTTCCAGGACCCAAGAGAGCCCCAAGACGGCCCTAGAGGCCTCCCAGACGGCCCAAGAGGCCCCCAAAACAGCTCCGAGAGGCTGCCCACACGGGAGCCCGAACGAACATTTCGAGCCCTCGGCTCTGAGAAGCTCACAGGAGACCCCAAAAGGCCCCCAAGAGGCCCCCACGAGGCCCCAAGAGGCCCCCATGGGCCCAAGAGGCCCCCAAGAGGCCCCCAAGAGGCCCCCAGGAAGCCCGAGGGACCCCCAAGAGGCTCCCAAGAGGCCCCCACGATTTTCCCGAGAGGCCCCAAAACTGCCCCCCAGAGGCCTTCAAGCGCGCTCCGAAGAGACCCCACGAAGCACCCCCCCTGAAGACTCTGCCCCACGTCAGCGTCTTCGTCGCCGCCGACGCCGCCGTCGTGGTCTTCGTCCCCCTTCACGGTCGGCGGCACCGGCCGTAGGGCCTTCCCATGTACCCCCGTCTGGGGGGGGCAGGGCCGCCAGCGGGCCCAACGCTTTCCTGGTGGGGACGGGGCTGGCGTCAGGGAAGCAGGTCCTAGATCCCGGGGCTCTTCCCCCTGGCCCAGCGTCTCGTCCTGGGCCCGCGGGGGGGACCCCAGGAGCCCGAAAACGCCGGATAACCCCAGGACCCGTTTGCCTCATGGCGAGGGACAGGTCCGACGACGCTGGTCCTGGAAGACGTCGAGGAAGCGCGCGTTGTGCTTCGCGTCCAGCTGGCTGAGGGCGTTTCCAAGCTGGATGAGCTGGGTGGCCGTGAAGGGAGCCAGTGCCCCAGCGAGGGGCGCCACCTCGGCGGGAGGTCTGCTCCTCCTCCTCCTCCTCCTCCTCCTCCTCCTCCTCCTCCTCCTCCTCCTCCTCCTCCTCCTCCTCCTCCTCCTCCTCCTCCTCCTCCTCCTCCTCCCTCCTTCCTCTCCTCCTCCTCCTCTCCTCCTCTCCTCCTCCTCCTCCTCCTCCTCCTCCTCCTCCTCCTCCTCCGCCTCCTCCTCCGCCTCCGCCTCCGTCTCCTCCTCGTCTCCTCCCTCCTCCTCCTCTCCTCCTCCTCCTCCTCCTCCTCCTCCTCCGCCTCCGTCTCCTCCTCGTCCTCCTCGTCCTCGTCCTCGTCCTCGTCCTCCTCCTCTCTCCTCCTCCTCCTCCTCCTCCTCCTCCTCCTCCCTCCTCCTCCCTCCTCCTCCTCCTCCTCCTCCTCCTCCTCCTCCTCCTCCTCCTCCTCCTCCTCCTCCTCCTCCTCCTCCTCCTCTTCCTCCTCCTCCTCCTCCCCCTCCTGGCACCTGGCACCTGGCGGCACAAGAGATCTCCGATCGCTGCCAACGCCCCCTTCCGCCCCACCGTCTGGTGTGCGAGGGGGGACATGAGTGGAAAACGGCACGCACGGCCGATGGGGGGCCGGCGAGCGGGACGAGAAGGAGACGACACGAAGGGGGACCGAAAAGGGAGGCGAACCGAGGGATCGAGCGAGCGAGGGAGGGACAAGAAGAGACACGACGGAGGGCCGCGGTCCCGGCGGCGCGCGGACCCCTCATGGACCACCAAAGGAGGGGCGGGGGGCGGGCAGGCCGAGGGGCCGGGGGGGGGGGGAGGGGGGGAGGGGCAGTTGGTGGTCCGCCGAGGGGGCCTAAAAGGCCCCCCCCTTCCCCCGCTTCACGCTGCCCAACCTTCGCCGCCTCCCTCCTCCTCCTCCTCCTCCTCCTCCTCCTCCTCCTCCTCCTCCTCCGCCTCCTCATCCTCATCCTCCTCCTCCTCCTCCTCCTCCTCCTCCTCCTCCTCCTCCTCCTCCTCCTCCTCCTCTGGCCCCTCAGGGCCGTCCCCAGGTTACCGCCCGTGCGGTCCAAGGAATTCGTGAAATCCTCGTGGGCGAACGGACCTGTGAGCACGACGCGGCCCAGCATGTCCTGGGCGCCGCAGTTGTGCTCGTCGGCGTCTCACGGATGTGGGTGTCGCTGTATCGTGGCGTTGGTGCTGGGCGTGAGGGCGCTGCTGGGCATGGCGCGCAGCCCCTGTGGCGCCCTGCGGTCCGTCTCTTTGTGAGTGGCGTCGTCCTCGCCTCGGGGGGGCGTGAGCCGCGCGGCCCGAGGTCGAGGGCGGGTGGGGAGGGCGGCCCGTCCAGGCCATTCACCTCGTGGTCCCCGCCTTGATGGCAGCACTGCTGGTTGCAGCCGCGGCGCTGCTGCCGGTCGGGGTTGCGGTAAACGGAGTGCTGCTGCTGGTCGCTGAGTTGGGCGTCTGGTTGTGGGCGTAAGTGGGGCGCCATCATGGTTCTGCTGTCCGCCGCCCCCGGTGCTGCTGCTCTGGAGTCCGCCGTGCTCCCCACAGTGGTACTTTTGGAGTCCGCCATGCTGCTCACGATCGTGCTGATGGAGCCCGTCGTGCTGATCACGATGCTGTCGCTGGAGCCCGCCATCGTTCTCACGGTCGAGTTGCTGGAGTCCGTCATGCTGATCACGATGTGCTGCTGGCGCCCATCGTGCTGCTCACGATGGTGCTGCTGAAGTCCGTCCAGCTGCTCACTGTCGTGCTGCTGGAATTCGTCGTGCTGCTCCCGATGTTGCTCTTGGCTTCCGTCCTGCCGCTCACGGTCGCGTTGCGAGGATCCGTCGTGCTGCTCATGGACGCGCTGCTGTGATATGTCGAGCTGCTCTAGATGGTGCTGCTGGGGTCCGTCCTGCGTCTCAGGATCGCTGCTGGAGTCCGTGATGCGCTCACGATGGTGCTGCTGGAGTCCGCCATGCTTCTGACGGTCGTGCTGCTGGAGTCCGTAGTGCTGCTCATGATGGTGTTGCTGGAATCCGTAGTACTGCTTACGGTCGTGCTGCTGGAGTCCGTCGTGCTGCTCACGATGGTGGTGTTGGGGTCCGACATGCCGCATGTCATAGTGCTGCTGGAGTCCGTCCTGTTGCTTACGGTCGTCCTGCTGGAGTCCGTCGTACTGCTCCCGGTGATGCTGCTGGAGTCCTCCTCCCCTCCTCCTCCTCCTCCTCCTCCTCCCCTCCCCCTCCCCCTCCCCTCCCCCTCCTCCCTCCTCCTCCTCCTCCTCCTCCTCCTCCTCCTCCTCTCCTCCTCCTCCCTCCTCCTCCTCCTCCTCCTCCTCCTCCTCCTCCTCCTCCTCCTCCTCCTCCTCCTCCTACTCCTCCCCCTCCCCCCTCCCCCCTCCCCCTCCCCCTCCCCCTCCTCCTCCTCCTTCCTCCTCCTCCTCCTCCTCCTCCTCCTCCTCCTCCTCCTCTCCTCCTCCTCCTCCTCCTCTCCTCCGCCTCCTCCGCCTCCTCCGCCTCCTCCCTCCTCCTCCTCCTCCTCCTCCTCCTCCTCCTCCTCCTCCTCCTCCTCCTCCTCCTCCTCCTCACCCCAAAGCCAGACTTGATGAGAAAAGCGCCGCGACTGAAGAGAAAAAGCGCATCGTCTGGTAGAGCTCCGGGGTGCGCACAGACAGCCGCACCAGGTGGTCCCAGCGGGCCTCACCAGGCCCCCCGAGTAGTCGCAGCTGGCCTTGACACCCCAACCCTGGGGCGCGGAGCGCCCCAGGGGCGCCGCTAGAGGCTCGGGAGGCCTGGTGGGGCCAGCTAGGACTACTCGGGGGGCCTGCTGAGGTCAGCTTGGACTGCCTGGGGATGCTGTCTGCGCGCAGCCCGAAGCCCTAACCAGTCGGAGGCGTGGGTCTGCCTCGGGGCGCCGCTGACTCCACAGCGGCGCGCCGGAGCTTTCCGTCGCCCCCTCCGCCGGGGCGAGCCCCGAGCCGTCGCTCGCGGCGGCCATGGCGGCGGCGTCCACCTTCCGCGAGGGGGCCGGCGGGCGCCTGCGGGGGGCGCCAGGCGGGGCAGGGAGCGGCCCGCATCAGATCGAGACCCCCATCGCGTCGTGAGAGCACGAAGACGGCAGATTGTCGGCTGGATTTGGCCCCTGGGGGCCCTCGTCAGGCCCCAAGACCGTCAAAACGACTCGCGGCGAAAAACGGCCCTGGGGAAAGGGCCAAAACTTCTCATGGGCCCCGCACTGAAAAAGTCAGGGCATCGCATGTCTGGGATCGGATCGGGGCGAGCGTCGGATCGGCCCGCCTCGGCATGGAGCCGAAGTCGAGGCGGATCGGCCGCGCCAGCATGCACAGCGGCGGCACGCAAGCATCGAGCCGCATCGGGTCGTCGCGGGGGGCAACGATAAGGGGGGACTGGCACAGGGGGGGGGCACATCGGCCTGGAATCGGCGATACATGGCGGATAGACCGGCGAGAGGCCCCCGATAGTGAACCCGTACCTTCCTTCCTGGGCGGGTTGGGGCTATCAGACCCCGATCGGCGATCAATGGGCGATTGGGGGTCGATGCGTCCCCCACTATGCCTATCCCCCCCTATCGTTGCCCCTGACGTCGGAAGATCGGGGACAGGATCGGATCGGGCCAGTCGAAATCGGCATCGAATCGGCTCGAGGGGGTCGAAGTGGATCCTGGAGGGCGGGCGGGGCCTGCCCTATCCCGATGTCGGCCCTCGCCCGCTCCCGTGCTGTACCGTCGTCGTCCACCGCCTCGTCCGCCTCCTCCTCCTCCCTGCTCCTCGTCCCTTCTCCCAATCTTCGTCCCTCCCTCCTTGTCTCTTATCTTGACTCCCTCCATCCATCCCTCCCTCCCTCACTCCCTCCCTCCCCTCCTCCTTCTGCTGCTCGCCCGCTCCAGTGTTATCTATGTTTGTCGTCGCTACTTTTCTCCTCCACCTCCTCGTCCGCATCCTCCTCATCCTCCTCCCCCCTCCCGTCTGAAGACTTGAAGGTGCGGATCGGTCTGGTGACACCTGGGGCCCTCGGCACTCTCCTGCTGGACAACCACCTCTACCATGCGCAGGGGGAACTCGCTCACACAAACGATACGCAAGCTACCAGGATGCTCATCGAGCGACTAACAGGTGAAGTACTGCCATTTTGGCTTGGACGTCTACGACTAACCTGTCGCAAGTGGGTTGGTCCTGGCATTGCGTTCTTACCTGAAGTTTCTCTGTCATTGTGCAGCCAAGGGCGCTCGATGTGTCCCACTAGTGCTGCCGTCGAGCCTTGTCGCTCTTAGCACAACCGTTCTCGAGATCCTGGACATGTTTCTGGGTCCCATCTGGAGTGTTTGCGCGTGTGGGTAAAGGTATCATACCATCGTGACGTTCGCGCCTGAGGATCATCAGAGGCGTGGACGGGACCAATCACAAGGCGTACCAAACCTAGTTGGGCACCAAAAAAAAAAACTAGTTGGGCACGGATAAGGAGGAGGACTTTTGGGACTGGGGTCGGGGAGCGGCCTGCCCTCAGATCTGACGTTGCCAACAGATTACAGCATCGCAGAAGAGCACCGCGGGAGCCCAAAACACCATCTCTCCGCGTCGTTTTGGCCAGCCCGATCGAGCTGTGAGGGCCCTGGGCCCCGGGCCCCGAAGCAAGGCGAAAACGCCCCGTGTGAAGACAGTGGCAGCGCCAAGATCTCGGGGTGCGCTCCTGGGTGTGGGGCCCGAAGGAGGAGGAGGAGGAGGAGGAGGAGGAGGAGGAGGAGGAGGAGGAAGAGGGAAAGGAGGGAGGAGGAGGGAGGAGGAGGAGGAGGAGGAGGAGAGGAGGAGGGAGGAGGAGGAGGAGGGAGGAGAGGAGGAGGAGGGAGGAGGGAGGAGGAGGAGGAGGGAAGAAGGAGGAGGGAGGAGGAAGGAGGAGGGAAGGCGGGGCAATATGGCCCTCCAGGCACGACGAGGGCTGGGCCCCCCCCGGCAGGCGCTGCGGGCGCAGGCCCCCCCCGGGGGGCCCACGCGCGACGGGCTCACCTCGCGGGCACTCGCCCCGCTTCGGGCCTGGGGCGCTGGGCCCCGGCTGGGGCGCTGGGCCCGCGCTGGGGCGCTGGGCCGGGGATTGGCGCTGGCGGCTCCTCCTCCTCCTCCTCCTCCTCCTCCTCCTCCTCCTCCTCTTCCTCCTCCTCCTCCTCCTCCTCCTCCTCCTCCTCCTCCTCCTCCTCCTCCTCCTCCTCCTCCTCCTCCTCCTCCGAGGGGGGGAGCTGAGAAGGAGAAGGCCTTCTGGAAAGGCGGCGGGGCTTCCCAGAAGCCCTCGCGCCGTCCGAGAGGCCTCCCGCGTCTTCGGGGGAAGGCTTAGAAAAACTTCGCGGCCGAGCCTTCTGAGAAGGCCCGCCCCTTCTCGCTTGCCCCCCTCGCTCGAGGGGAGCCTTTCGCTCTGGAGCTCGTCGTCTTCGCGCCTGGTGGGCGAGAGCCGCCAGCCACGGGTGCTGCACACTCGTGCCTGGAGTTAAGGAACTTCGAAGCTAAGAGAACGGATAACACTCCGAGCCGTTGTTTGCAAGCAGCAGTCCAGGTAAAGATGCACGGACGTTCTGCGTGAAATAAGCTTAGAGAGAACGCCCACGGTCCAGTCCAGACTCGTGGTTTTCTTGAACGAAACCTGGAGTCCATGAAAGTTATTATTTTCTCCAGATTCATGATGAGTGTACTTCAATGCTTTGCAGTTTGCCAAAGCAGTTTACGGAGGACCAAGGGTTTTTATCGATTGCCCATTCCTTACGTCGTTGGCGTGCCGATGTACTTCTTGTTTGGCCCACGTCAATTTTGTCTACGACATCGAGCTCGCACCCAAGGCGTAGCACCATCCACAAGCCCGACACGACAATCCCACCAAATACTCCTCCCCAGCCCTATCCCTTGTGAATAGATGCTCCAATTCTGCCACCCAGCCAGCCGATGGGGATAACATGTGGCATGACCCCTCCTACTCGTAAAAAAATGCAAAGTCAACGTAAGTCCTTTCAGCATGGACATGTTGTCGCCGGCGATGCAAAACACGTAGCCAGAACGGGATGCGGAGCACACCTCGCCTCAGCGCCGCGACGATGTTTCCTGAAAGTTGTCCTCCTGACTGGGCACGGAGCGCATCTTTCGCTCGCCGATTCGTCGGGCGCTGGGGCCACGCCGGCCACGCGCGAGCGGGCGAAATGCAGCTAGAAGCCCAAACG